GTATATGTATAATCGCGCATTTAGAATCTTAAGGAATGTAACGAAAATACTACTCAGCATATGAAGCGATGTGTATTTCCTGAAAGCCTCCGGCCTTAAGCCTTCATAATAAATTTTAAATAATTGTTTTTGATTATATAGGACATATAAGATATACAGGTGACAAGCGTTTAATTCACATTTTATCTGATGGTTGGGATACTGGTCACGTCCACATGGGGCGATTGGTTTGTTCACGACATTGCACCTAAATCTGATAGACGGTTTTAATCGTTTTTGCAATAAAAACGTTCGCTTGATTTGTTTATTTATGAATTTAGAAAAACTGTAGGATATGCTTGGTCACATATTTTTTTTTTATTTCCAAAAAAAAAAAAAAAACCTGCAGCGCCGGAAACTTTGGCATTATAGCAGGTACAGCCCATAGATGAATACGCTCAATAAAGTAAAACTGGACACTTGAATATACAACCTGGGCTTTCAATGAAGAAAATACATAAACACTGAACATAAACAACATTACAAATTCAAGACCATTTCCTAAGATACATGGTCCCACGACGTCACGAATAAAAAAAGAGTCTGGTAGCAGGTTCCACATACCTGCAGTCATTAAATGGTGTTACCGTTTTTAATACAAAATTTAATTATTGAATTTTATTTATTTTAAACACAAAGACCCCTGTGAAATAATCTGTCACAGGCAGCTTGAGAGTGCCTAGGGCTCGCATGTTGTGATGCCGAAGAGAAGCCATCTACGTGGAAATCACCCGAGTTCAGGGTTGTTGATTTTAAATCGCATCGGTTTGCATGGACATCTGTCATGGAGGCTCATGAAGCCGTGCCTAGCATTCCACTTCTACCAAACGTAAGAGAGATCATTTCTGTCGTGCCCTTAATTTTATTTGGCAAAGTTTATACAAAGACAAAATTTCAGATTTCAATTGATGGGCCTCACTTATCTCACGTGCCAAGCACGTCGTAATAAAATGTCAGTAAAACAAATGGGTAATTTTCTAACGCCAACGCTGTGAAATGCTGTTAATAAGTACTTTTGCAAGGTCAATAGCGAAAGGAATTTCCCACCCGACCCAGGACGTACTGTCGAAATGTATCTCGAGTACTTTATTTTTTTTTAAGAAAACAACCCGATACAATATCAATTATTCTTTAGAATATCTGCGTATTATAAGAGACATTTCGAGTTTCCGAAGTTCACAGAAAGTTGGTGTCCCCGAAAATCAATCAGTGAACTTGCAACTTTGTGTGTTTTTCGAGGTTTAGGAGGTTTTTAATCAGGTTGAGAACCCTGCATTTTTACTATATATCTACTCATTAGTCTCTTCGTCAGTTTATTTTTTTTTTAGAAAATAGGGCAGACCGTAGACGACGGGAATCCTCCTTGTGCATCATAGCCGTTTCGGCACCGAACCTGACCGAAATTAACGACTAACATGACCAGATGCATCGTAAAGCGTTCGTAAAGAGGTCCGCGAATATGACTTAAAACCACTTCGTGGTTCTTGAATTGGCCCAGTACCAGTTTCATTAGTTGTGCGCTATAACAGGCACATTTGTATGACGAAATTAGGCGAGAATGGCATAACACACCAACACAGCGGAGAGCGTGCTGAAACCGAAACCAACCAAATTGAAGTCACCCAATGGCGCCGAGTGCGTCAGCGCCCTCTGCCCGCCGGTCGGATAACTACTGAGATGAAAAGGTCTATATTTTCCATATACATGCATGTACAGCACACTAAAGAAAATATTATGTTTTACTGTGGCGCTTATTTGGGTCAAATGAAATGAAAAACTTTTGGTGGCTCAGCTCTGCTATGCCAGGATATACGTAGCGCGAGCTTATGCGCACAAAATGAGAGGCGCTATCAAGCGGCTTCGGTGCAGCGTCAGACTTGGCTACTGCGCAACGGAGGCGCACAGCTGGGCACGCGGCTGCACCAGTGCGTCTGCCGCGGCTATGACGTCACTCCTCTGGAATGCGCAGACTAGCGAGGTGGGCGCAGCGGCGGCGGCTCCGGCGCGCCAGCTGTGCGTCGTGTGACGTCACTGCTCCTCGCGCATGCGCAGCACGGAGCACGGCTCATTATGCGAGCCACGCGAAACTGCTCAACCTCGGCCAGTGTATCTCAAGCTACAAAATAGGTAAGCGAATTCTATTTTCTTTCTATTTCACACATTTTTGAATCGTAGTGAATGCCAGAATATCCCACAACGATTTTCTGACTATTTTGAGATAAAAGGCTTAGCGATATTTCCATAAAAAAACCCAGCTCTTATTTTCTTTCTTTTGACTCTGGAGGTTTCATGTATTCATACTGTCAATTAATGAATGCACCAGCTTCGATCACATCTGCAGTAAATAACTAGTGCGATAAGTTAAGAAACCGATTTATGCAGACAGTTTAAAATGCGGTCCATCCATTTCGCCCACGCTGTAGATGGCGCTGCGCATTTCGCACATCATCTATTGCGTTGTGCATTTGCTTAGAAAGAGGGAAGGCAGTTGTAGCAAACGTGGGCTAACACGCTGCTGCGAGGCTCAGCGGAGTCCACGGTGGTGGACCCGGCCCGCAGCGACACTCTGAGAACCCATGGGCGGCCAAGCCCGGGACGGAGTTGAGAGGCAACTGAATTCGATGATGACGGAAGTAAATGACATCGGAGCTTGCGCTCCGCCCTTCTTTTGCTATGTATCGTGACGTACTAACACGTTCTCTATTTATCACTTTATTTTCTTATTCCAGTTTAGACTACCACAGAAGTAAGCCTCAATTGGCATCTGGTGTCTGCTCTGTAAATTAGTTTAGCCAGTGCAGTACGACTGCTAACCTGGGCGCATTAACGTGCATCGGGCCGTAGCTATTATAGGACCGCTTGCCGATACGACGCTCATCCAGATGACGCTATGCACTAGCGCATTGTGTATAAGCGAGTCTTTCGTCATCATACCTCTTTGAAACACAGAAGCTTATCCGCTTGCTCTGTTCCGCAGCCGATGCCGACACCGCCTGGGCGTGACTTGGGGACGTTCCTACAGATCGGTAAATACATGTTTGGGGGATGCTCGTTCTGAATTGGTCGGTGGCTTGCGCCACCTAGGCAGTGCGCTGTTACTACATCCGGTGTTATTTAAATGAGCTACCACAGCGTCAGTACCTTTCGCTTCCTTGTTCTACCCCTTTAAAATTATTTTCTGCCATCGTCCTTCTAATTCTCGGAGGAAGTAATCCTCATCGAGCCTCGATATCCGGTTGCCGAGCCCCTCACATTTCATAATGAGCCTCTGGCTTTCATATCCACATAGAACACCAATAACTAGATAAAGTAGCTTCGCGACCTCTCAACTTCTTGACTACTCTGGCGGTTTCCACGATTGTATGTCTTTCTTTTTGTTTTTGTTCTTGTTTTTACTTCGTTGTCAGCGCAATGACATACAGAGTAAACGAAGAACGCTCAACGATTTTCGATATGCCACGGAGTGTACATCAGCGAATCTGAAAGTCAAATGGGTTGTCATTCTATCACACTTAAAATGAAGACAAAAGCCTCTTGAGGACCGCTTACGCCAGCCCATCCTAAGCTCTAGTGTCCCCAACAAAAAAAAAAACCTTGCAAAAAAGAATAATATTGGTTACGCTTGTCTGCTTTTTTTGCCCGAAGCAGTTTCAAAGAATACTACTTTGTAGCTGGTCTCCTAGAGACTCGTCGATCACAAAGTTGGGGCGGGAGTTTACGAAGCGCGCATATTGAACTTCCGCGACGATGACGACGCGCTTTGTCGCCGGTGTTCGATTGGCGCTATCCGCACACTTTCGGCTCGAACTTTAGATTTGACGAGTCTACAGTCTCTATACCCATGGTGAGTAATTTCAATACAACAATGTAAAGTGGAGAAATCAGTAAACAAATTTTCTTTAGATAAACTTTAAGCCATGGCGCTGGAAGACCCGGGAAAGCTGTCGCCAAGTATCGGTTCGCTACGTCGGCCTTTTCTGAGTTGGGTTACGACCGATTAGCTCGGAGACACGCATGGGTCGCGCGCCGTGTTAGTTAGCCTTGGTCGACTTCTCTCGGAAAGACTCCCTCGAGCGCACCGGAGCGGATATATCGATCGCGCGATTACTATACTTTGGAAATGTTCCTCCGAGCCAGCATGCATCGCCCTGCCAGCTGCATAAGCCTGCTAAGCACAGGGCGTTGCTCTTACAAGTCTCAGAGTGCGACTTCGCAAAGTTCTAAATCACACGAGCATTCCGATCACTGCCACGTGCCAGGATTGCACGCTGCTTTGTACAGCAGCCGCAGTGACAGCGTGTAGAAAAATTATTTTATGTTTATCAACCTCGCAGGAACAGTTCGTGGGTCTCAAGTTAAGCTTGATGCGGAAAAAGGGAGCAGGGAAAGCGGCTCTCTTTCTACTGCCAGGTGTAATCGATTAGGAGTCGGCTTTTACCTTCGGTAAGAATGCCATCATTCCATAAGGCCTTCAGGGGACGACTTTCGCCATGGTGGGACATCATACAAAATATGACCACAAGATGTCGGTAAAGGACGCTTGAATCTCGAAATTGAAACCGACATCCATGTCCCTAAGCGAAATGTCTGCAACATCTTTAAGTAACCCAGGAGGTGTTTTTTTATTTTAAAACCTCAGCTAGACTGCTAATAAATACATCATACAAAATACGGTGTCCAGACACCCTCTGAATGGTGTTTTTTTCTTGTCATAGAAAATCTATGACATTGGTCATAAGTTTTCTATGACATTAGTCACTGAAAATCTGCATGCAGATGCGTCCGATGCGTATACAAATGTGTGCTACGGACATGCCGGATGCAGACGTGTTTCTAACAAGCTTGAGGAGTGTCCTTAGATACTTCTGTCATCACGCCTGCGGCGTATATCCCGCATGACTTATGAGCGGCGCGACTACGGCGTGAGGTATATACAACGGTCGGTTTGCATAGGGACGCACCTTGACGACGAGTCCCTCGATGTCCATGTCGTACTTGAGGGTGAATTGGAGCTTGCCGCAGGGCGTCGTAATGGATGTCAGCTCGGCGGAATCTCGACCGGAGTCCGTCGTGTTGCCGCCGTCCATATCGTACAGCTCGGGCTGGATGGCACCCACCGTGCCGTGCGTCTCCCGCTGCTGGATGTTGCACACTGCGAGGGGGAAGGAATTATTAAAAAAGCGCCCGTTAGATCGGCCGATTTTTCGGGGGTGCCCCCCGTTGACAGAGAAGACGCGCTTGAACGCACTCTGTCGTCATGCGTCCCACTAATACCGCCGAGAAGACGAGGCCTGCCAGTGACGTCATTATTAGTGGATCCCCGACCTGCTCAAAGCGGAAAGTGATGGCGCAATGACGTGGATAGTGATGACTTTAGGGGGGGGGGGGGGGGGGAGGGGAAAGGCGTACGCCTTGTCTTTAGGCTGTATTGGTTCCACGCACACGTATCACGCGTCTATATTCAACGACATCGTCTTCAACTTTAGGACAGTATTTAACTCATTGCTCTCAATAGCGTCGTCCTGATGTCACAAGCAATTGGTTATAGTCATGATAAAGTCCCATGATTATGATGTCGATTAGGTGCACCCTCGCTGTGGTACTCGAGCTGCGCCGCTCACCTGAAGCTCTACACCTTTGCGCGCGCTCGTCAAGAGTCACCACTTAAGCACCGCGGAGGTGCTCGGAGAAGCGACTGAGCTCATCTCGACGAGCTAAATGTGTTCAGAACCATCGTTTAATAAGGGTCGAACTAGTTTGTTTACAAAAATGGATCGAGCCCTAACTAAAAGATAAATGAAAAATACAGTGTGACAAGAAAATGTTGTTTAATTACATGAAATAGATGAGTTACAAAATATGAAACAAAACGATTGACGTTCGGGGAAACAGAGCCTAAAGTCGGTCTGTCTTCGATATGCGGCGACACTAGCTTACCACGTTGCAACTTAGCCCGATCCTGGGGTATGAAATAGAAACGTAGACATACGAGGGACAGAAAGTAGAAGAATAGAACGTCTCATGTGTCCCTTTCTATTTTAAGCTGTGGATGAACGATTTAGCGATTGCACAGCAACTGCTAGCTAGCTTGGGGTATTGAACGTGAACCACCAGATATGTACATAACGCCATACTAGAAACAAGTGCTTTTGCCTGGTTCTTTTTTAACGAGTAACCTATCTAGTTTTATTTTTAGAAAAAAAACGAGTAACGTACTTAGCTATTTCTAAGGCAAAGTAGCAAGTAACGGTATTTTGTTACTTTTGAGGAGTAACGTGTGCAAACAACGTTTCAACAGCCTCGTTTTAATTGTGACCTGTGTATGCGTCTATTCCAACAAAGGCAGATTGGCAACCCGAAAAACGAATAAACAGTATGCCGGTATAGCAACGCTTATCGCTGAACAGTTCAGACGAACTCTACGCCTTAGAATGTACTTCACCCAGCAAACACAAAAAGGTTCGTTGGTTGAATCACCTTCTAGAATCGCGCACAGACCGAACGTAAACAAGGGGTTTGCCAACACTTGAAGGCACAGAACCCGTCATCAACTCGAAACTTTAGAAGCAGAGAGAACAAAAACAAGAGGGGAATTCCACCAGGTGTTGCTGAAGCAGAACACTGCCGTTTCCACGAGCGCGTCAGTACCACGACGCTTCAGCGTCTCTCGAGATGTATTCTCAAGGAAGCGGGGAAACGTAACCGACCAAAACTTGAAGAGCGAGCTTCTACGTAAGTGGAACAACTATTGAAAAGAAAACTATAAACCATGCAACAAAAGCAGTTGCGGGTCGTCAAAGTAACGACAAAGGTAGATCGTTACTTTTGTGGTCAAGCAACGCGTTCCCTTTGGGAATCGGTAACGAGTAATGTATTTAGTTACTTTTTGAGCGAGGAACGCCTAAAGGTATTTTGGTACTTGGGAAACGTGTAAATGTCTGTGGACGGCTGCATGATACCCATCCAAATCGAAACGGACCAGGGATGGGGATTGAGCCGAAGATCCCTCGGCTCCGCTGCGCGACCTTTCGCTCCACGTGCTCCGGGCTGTTTGTTGTGCGCTAGCCTCCTCGGCCACCGGTAGCCCCAAACAGGTTACTCAAAGTGTGCTCAGCTCCGTAAAATCAATCGTGCTGACGGTCAGTCAACGGGACCCATTCATTGCGTACACATCAACTCGCGGCTCTAAGGTCACACCGGTGTGGTAACGCCACTGTCGGTTCGGTACATGCGCACACGCTTAACTTTGTGAAAATTTTGATTTCTGCGCAGGCGCAGTGCTTCCGCCCCTGGTGCGGACTAGAGTGTGGACAAACGCGGAGTTCTTTTTTGAACAGTGTCGGTCTGTGGAGCACTGAGAGGGCTTCCTACCTGCGTGATTGGTTCTTTGGCGTCCATGCTCGGCTAATACCGCATTTTCACTAGCTACGGAGCAATATTAAGTTGCTTGGAATGTTAGTGAATATAGGAAAGGAGCGGACATGACTCAAGCCCCACCAGGGCGCCCCTAGCGGTCAAAAGATCTTTTTCCTCGGTTGGTGTTTTTCAGCCGCTCCTTTCAAGTTATGTTCGCTCAAGATTTGTGCCACAGAAAACGCTTGCAAAAATCGTAAGAACCTTAAATTCCGTGTTAAGAATGACGGGCACGCCACAATTGCTTTTTTGATAAGACGGCTGCAACAACCGCTAGGCGGCAGCGAAAACTTAGACAGCCCAGAGCCATATAATGCGGTTTGAAGAACTTCGTTTTCTGACGGGTATTTTAATGTCGCCGCGTCTGACTCACGTCGCTTACTCATTAAGGTTGGCAATAATAAATTCCGGAATCATTAATAAAAGACGACTCGGTGGGCATCTTAATCACAGAAATGTAGCGCCAGTGTTTGTCTTGCTAAGCATAGTAAACCACAGTAACCATCATACGAAAGTAGTTCACTTCGGCAGGAACTTTGATGAGATGAAACATCTTCTACTGCCGTAAAAAAGTGTACTAAAGAAACGTTTGTTTTTAGAGTTTAATAAAGCGTCGTTTAGAACAGACGCTTGAGGTTCGAGCACAATTTGTGCGCTACAACGGGTGGGTGGAGGACTCCACGAATTCTGCCCCTCATTAAAGGCTCGTATGCGACAAAACAGACAGCTTCGAGTACAAAAGTAGCCCTAGGCGTAGGAATAACGAGCGATGACTGCCAAGACTGAAAGCAACAAGCTTCCCACACAGCCAGCTTGCACAAGCCAAAATCGCCAGGCTTGCCTTCGTCCTATCAAGCCCAATAGCACAACAAGGCTTGGTTTCATGCAACGCAGAAGGTCAAAACTATGCGTAGAGACACCGAGGGAGAGGAGGTGATGAGAGCGTACGGTGACATCAGGTCGCCGAGCTCTTATTGGAAGGATTAGTGGGTAGACGCAAAGGCTACTTGCCTTTGTGCGTACCCACTGTCTTCCTCCAATCAGAGCGAGCAAGAACGTTGTCTGCTCCTCGACCGGAGTCTGGAGTCCAAACACCGGACGCTGGTGCTACTTCTTTCTTTCGGCTACTATTCGAATAGCAGGTGAGGATTAAAGTGTTCGCGTAGTCCAGACCGAGGCAAGACACATTAATTTCGATAAGGCTTGATTGGATTTTTGTACGGTTTATGGTATCCACATTGTAGACGTCAACATATCTTTGTTGTTTTTTCCAGGGGGGGGGGGGGGGGGGGGATGAGGGAAAGGGAACGCGGCGCAAAGCGGAGGCTGCCATATTAAAACCGCTTACGTTGCCAGCATAGGTTTTGCAGCGGAGAAGTTGCTGCCATATACGGCGGACTGAGTTTTACTTTCTTTTTCGTTTTGGAACGAGAATGTATTGTTGTGTTACATAAGTCCTCCTGCATACAGACAATGAAGTTGAGTTATATTTGTCTTGTTTACTTGGTTTGGAACCCTAGAAACGGGTTTTTGACGACTTATCGCTTTCAACATTTTGGAGTACGCAAGGCAGTTATCTCGCTGTTCTGGTTTCGGTTACGAAAGCAAGGCAAAACGCTCGTAGTTCCCGCCCTCAATACACGTTGGACACCTTCCACACTTTGACACCGGATAACTGTATGAACAAGGATTTACATTTACTTCAGAGGTAACTTTCGCCGTTTCCTCACCGTCGAGCAGCCGGATCAGCTGGCGGCAAGCCGCGGATGAATGGCTTGAGCATCAACAGCCTAGAGCCACTAAAACAGCCCAAGTGCACTCAGTGCCGATGCGGGCGACGCGGGCTTCTGTCAACCCAGCGGCGGACCCAAGAGGGGGGCGATGGGGACACCCCCGCTTCTCCCCCCCCCCCCCCCCCCCCCTTGCCCCCTTCTCGAAGGGCGATTTGACATGGGTGGATCCCCCGAAGTAACACCAACTACCGGCCTGCCAGGTGGTAGGAGGCTCGGTACTCAAGGACGAAAGTTCGAAATAGGGTAGGCCGCACCCTAGCAGGCACACTCTACTCTGAACTTGGAGAACCACTCCGTCGCTTCAACCGAGACTGAAGTCCGCGGCGGCGGTATCAAAGCACGGCTTAGAACCAAAAGTCCGCGCAGCGGCGCACATCTAGGGGCCGTCGGTGCACTGTGGTTCTGCGGCGGTTAAAACAAAACGCGCAACCCGAGTTCTGTCTATCTTGCTTTAGATTTTCCCTCCCCAAAGAAAACAAAAACAAAAAACGGAGTTCTGGATCCGCCTTTGGGTCAACCGGTAGCCCAGCACAATCCGTGAACGTTCCAGCTCTTCGCCATGACACGGTGTTGCAGAAAGCAGGGTAAAATACAACTACACGGACCACCGAATCAAATGCACTGTTATCGTAAATATTGGCTTGTGATTGCGCCTTTGTAGATCATCTTATTCGTTTTGCTGGAGACGCAACCGACGGGCGTAACAAAATCGCTTGTGTATTCCACATACCTCGCAAAAGCACTTACCCAGTCACCTTGCGAAAAGCTTGAAACACGGAGTCCGCGCCGCCCTGACTTACCAGTCTTTTACCTACTTTAGAGCAGTTTGTACCTGCTAGTAGGCATGTCTACTGAAACTGCAACTTGAAACTAGGGGCAATGCCAGAGAGAAAAGAGACAAAGTTGGGAAAGCATGCTCGCTCTCTCCAATTTCTGAACTCTCAAG